GGAAGCTCTCTGAGCACTTTCACTGATGGAATACAGCAGAAGTGACACTATGCCAGTTTCAAGACCCATACTTTAAGAACTATCCAACTCTACTTCCTGTCCATTGCAACACTCTCTGTGTCAAGTTCCAAGCTTTCAGGAAAGAGGTGTAGTGCTGTGCGGTAAGCACTGAACTGCTAACTGGAAGATTAGCAGTTCAAACCCATCAGCGATTTTGTGAGTGAAAGATGAGGTTTTCTGCTCCCATGAAGGTTTATAGCCTCAGAAACCCTAGACAGGGTTGCTATGAGACTGAATCAACTCAGTGGCAGTGAGTCTTTGGTTAACTCTGCTAAACAAGACTACATGGAGAGATCCTGAGAATACCTGGAGATAAAAAGGACTCCAACTGAACCCAGTCTTTCCAGATAATCCCCCAATGCAAAAGGTCTGCGGCAGACCAGAAGAGCCCTCAGTTGAACACCTCTGAGTGACCCAAGTCATCTCCTTGAAAACCAGAATTGCCTACCTAATCCCTTGCCAAATTTCTCACCCATAATATCATGAAATCAAATAACATGACTGATTTTTTAAGCCATTAAGTTCTACAACAGTTTCAAAGTAACAGTTAATTAGGATGTATGAAGACTTACTCAGTGTCATATAGTTAGTATGAGGAAGAACTGGGTTTAAACCAGGTAAGCAGGTGCCAAGTGTATGCATTTAATCACTATGTCATACATTCATCTTACTACTTTTAAAAAAGAAAATGAATTTTCAAAATCACCCTGATTATTCTGGTGAAGGGAAAATTTTCCCTAACTTATTCTACATCCAGTTGTTAGATTACTCTAAGCTAATATAGCCCTGGTGTGGCACTGTGGGTTAATGCACCAGGCTGCAAAGCCATTTGAAATGCAAGGTCGGCAGTTCAAGCTCACCAGCTGCTCCTTGGAAACCCTCTACAGGATCACTATGGGTCAGAACTGACTCGACGGGACTTCACAACAACAACAATATAGTAAAGCCTTTATTACCATTCTATTCATCATTTACTATTTCTTGAGGATCTAGTAAGTATCAGACCTTACTGGAGAATTATCATCTATGGCTTACTTCTCAATGAATGTATTTATTTCTTTTTCAAGGGAGCTCCTAGAGACACCCTTACTATTATGGTGTGGTGATCTGATACTTAGGCATTGTTGTTGTTGTTATATGCTTTTGAGTCAGTTCTGATTCACAGTGATCCTGTACAGGGTTTCCAAGAGTGGCTGGTAGCTTTGAACTGCTGACCTTGTAGTTAGCAGTCCATTACTTATTCTACAGCACCATTTGTTGTTGTTGTTAAATGCCATCCAGTCAGTTCTGACCCACAGTGAGCCTGTATAGGGTTGCCGAGGAGCTGCTGGTGAGCTTGAACCACTGACCTTGCAGTTCAAACGGCTTTGCTGTCAGGCGCATTACTACACAGCACCACACCAGGACTCCACCCCTTAGCTATGAGCAATTTAACATAGTCCATGATGTCACAACAAGTAGTTCTACATACAGATCCATAACAAACCAGAAGAATATAAAAAAGATGAAAGCACCAATTATTTTCAGGGTAATGGAGCATTGGAAGGTCAAATCAAGTCAAGAACCGTTTGTTTACATTCATATACAGTAAAAAGCAGTGGTGGCGTAGTGGTTACGAATCGGGCTGCGAGTCACAAGGTCAGCAGTTTGAAACTACCAGCGGTTCCACGGGAGAAAGATGAGGCGGTCTGCTCCCGTAAAGATTTACAGCCTCGGAAACCCTGTGTAGGGTCGCTATGAGTCAGAACCGACTCCACGGCACATAACAACAACAACAACAACACTTAGTAGCATTGTTGTTGCGTATTGTCTTTGAGTTGGTTCCAACTCATAACAACACTGTATAGGGTTTCTGATTAGCAACTGGGGGGTTTGAACTTCCAACCTTGTGGTTTGAAGTCCAATGCTGATTCTACAGCACTATACTAGGAGTACATATGTTATATTAATAGAACTTAGTAGTTTTCCTTTTATCAGAAGTCAGTACCACCCAAGACCCACCAGAAATGAACTGCTGCTTTCTTAGTTTATGCTTTAAAGAAGAAACAGTGGATTTTTTAATAGCCAGGTTTTTATACTTGTGCATTACATGTTTTGTCTTGTTTCTCCTGGAAGAGTTACATATTCAGTCCATCCTGCTTTAACAATGTTATTGGAGCAAAACAGGATAGAACATGGCACCATTTAAAAATACTGTAAGATTGCACATATAGATAAAACAATGAATTATAGGTCTGATGAACAATAAGCCTAGGTTTTCTCACTTTTTCTTTCTAAAGTATCTTCCAGAGATCTGAGCCTTATAAAACCACTACCTACCTTATCAAAAAAATAATAATAATAAATGCATGTATCTGTATCCTCTATCACAAGGGACTCACTATTAGAGCTTCTGGGATTAACATTCTTATCTAATGTCTCCACTGTTGTTGTTAAGTGCCATCTACTCATAGTGACCCTGTATAGGGTAGTGAGTTTGAACCACTGACCTTGTGGTTCAAACCGACCTTGCAGTCCAGCACATTAACCTGCAGCATCACACCAGGGCTCTATAGAGTCTAGGAATCCTCCTATACCTTGTATAGACTGTAACGGTTGATGGGTTCCCAAGTCCTAATATAAGCTACAAAATTTATAGTACTTCAAACAAGAACAGGCTCGGGGACATGGCAAACTATTTTATTTTCATGGAATGCAGGGCAGGGTTCTTATGACTACAAAACACAAAACCCTTAACACAAAGCCATTTCCTCTGGCTATTCTTTATAAATGAGCCCTGGTAGCTCTGTGGTTTGCGAATTGGGCTGCTAACCACAGTGTCAACAGTTCAAATCCACCAGCCACTGCGCAGGAGAAAGATGAGACTTTTTTGTTCCCACAAAGATTGGCAGCCTCAGAAACCCTGTGCAGGGCCACTGTGAGTCACCACCACATCTCTGTAGTGAATATGGGACTTTTGTATCACTCATCTCCGTCGAGTGAATTCTATAAGGCTTTCCTCCAAGAATATGGATTCTTACACTCTTAAAAACAGAGTGTCAACAGATTTTAAAATTATTTTTAAAGTCTTACAAAAATAAAAGACATGAGAATGTAAGCCACTTATCACTGAACTCCAGAGAGTAGGCATCATCCAATTATCCATCCTGTGATATGACAACAGGCTGTAAGAGATTCAGGGGCATAATTACTGGTAAGACTTTCGGGCCTTGTACCTTGCTCTTCCTGGAGAGCTCTGACTCTTTTGTTTATGGAAAATATTTAGAAGGTGACCCAATCTGCACCTATTTGTGTATTTTCTGAAGGAGGGAAGCCCCAAACAGATCATTATCATAGCTTAGTCCCCGAATCCCTGTGTAACATTAAATCCTACTGAAGGCAGTGACAACTTGGCATGGAAAAGGACTAGGGGACTATCCATTGCTACAAAGAAAAAGTCATTTTGCTCCCCTGCTTCCCACAGAGTTAGCACAATGTATTCTGACAGAAACAAAACAACTCTGCCAAGACCTGTGCAGACAGAAACATCCTTTCACCAGCAATAAACAGATCTGTTCTCGAGCTATAGAGAGTCATAATAGAAATATATATTGCCTTTTATCTTCATTTCAGTGAGCAGAGTGAAGTGTCAGGAGTTATTGCTTTAATATCAGTAGTGAAGATGCTATTTTTTTTTTTTTTTGAGCATGTGTGTAGGTTTTCATGTAAAAGCCTATGCAGTATAAGATTGTTGTGCTAACTAAGCTCTTAGTAGCCTGTCTAAAACATGTACAATTGTTCTTATAACATCTTTAGTATATATAGCTGAAAATTGTTCCTGTGGAGTCAGACAAGTTGCTGTCTGGATATTTCTCCTCAAAGAACAGGGAAAGGGAAGCTAATGTTTGTATTTCTCCCTACATATAAAACTTAATTCAGAAGAATGAGGACACACAGGAGATGGAATTGACGATTGACTTTAAGTTTATCATGTCCACTGAAGTCAATGGAAAGGTTATGGCAAAGACTCTAAGAGCCCCTACACAATGTCTTTAAACTAAGAAACAGAAGGGACAAATAGTGATCTACAGAATTTCCTACAAACACTAACTAGGCTACGGACAATTTTCCCCACAAGCAGTTGAAATGTTTTATTTTATGCCAGAGAATTTATGGCTAATAACTCGATTACCCTTCCTACCCCCTGACTACCTAGATTTATGAAATGCCAAGGGAGTCAGCAAAGTATTAAGCTTTAGCTTGGGTATAATTACTTTCAAGTGAAAAAACAAAAACCTTACCACAAAACTAAGAACTTCCTGCAGAGCTAAACTCAACCCTTTAAATGTTCTAATATAATTAGGATCTTGGTCAAATATAAAAGAAACAAAATGGACAAAAACCAAAACGGACAAGTGATTAATCAAGATTCAATATCAAACACAAAGAGCATTTTACAAGGATTAGTTGCACCTCTAGTCTCAATTGCCCTTGATTTAACGGTGCTCATTGGCCTCAATAATGAACAATTCATATTCCAGAAAAGCCACCTGGAGAAGATGAATAGAAATGAATGAGGATACAATCTTTCATACGATAACAGTTTTTTTTTTTTCTTTCCTCCTTTTCCCTTTTTGCTATTTAGAAGAAAAGGTAATAAAATAAGAGGAGGGAGTATTTTATATTGAAAGAGTCGACCGTTGCTTATTTTGAATAACAGTTTTATTATTTCAGTGATAAATATGATAGGATTAGTAACCCATGAGTGCCACAAGACTTTTATAACTTCTTTAGCAATGACTTTGTCTTTCTATACTCTTGGGCCTTATTACAATGAGTATCTGTAGGCGTCCTTCCAACAAAGAGTAATTCAGATTCTTCAGTTATATAGCAACACTGACTGATAGCAATGATTCAGAAACAAGAAAATATAAACAGTTACTACTTGGAGAAAGGCTTACCTGAATGCTGGCTGTGGAGCGATTCTTGCGGGTTGTAGTCGTAGCCATTGTAGTGGTAGTTTCCATGACAGTGGTAGACATTTCTGGTGGCATGGAGGTTGTCTGTGTTGTTCCCAAGATTGACGGGACCTCTCCTACCAGCCGGACACTTCCATTGATTTTGATATTGGGGTTGTTCTCAGCCGCCATGTTCAGTACTTTCAAACCATCATAATAGAGCCCAGAGAGCTGGCCTTGGAAGGGACGTCCTTTGTCCTTTCCACCAATGGCTATTTGCGCCTGGGTGTTGAAGATGGTTAACTGCCGGCCTAGTGGGTTGGGTGGAGGAAACAGCATTATTCCCATTTTTTTTATCTCTGTGCCTTACCTGGTCAGAATGGACCAGGCATCACAACAGGCTTCCTTGAGCAACTGAAGAGGAGAAAAGTTAATCACAGAATTTCAATAGATATGGGCAAGTAGCATTTCATAATAGTTATCTCTTCCACTGTCTAGCTGAAAATTCAAGGAACCTTAACAATGAAGTCTCTAGCTCTTTGTTCTGAGGAAGGAAAAATTTTGACTCAGTAACAAGCAATTAATACTGCTTGTCACGGAGTCAAAATTTTCTTGGGTCTGTTATTTCTGAATGATAGAAAAATAGTTCCAAATCACGTGACAACCAGAATATGTCACTGATACCTATTGTACTGAGTTTTTTTAAGCTACAATGGCACGTAAGATAACTTAAAGGAAATATATATGGTAAATAAAACCTCATTAAGCATATACAGAACACTTAAAAAAATAATTCTGTTAGATAAGTCCAATTAACTGAAATTAAATTCTAGTTAAGAGACTTGAATTTATTGTGCTTTTGTAAAATTGAACATTCTAGTTGTGAAACACCTTATTTCTTAGTACTCTTCATAGTACATAGTGTTCTACCTACATTTGCTATTCAATAAACATTATGGCTGACCATTTCCTATGTCTATTAACTTTTTGGGAGATTGTGGTCATACAACTAAATCATTTTCTAAAAGATGGAAAATAAATGGGCACTGATAATGCCTTTGGGGGAAAATAAAAGGATAATATATCACTCAGAAGTATTGAATTTTTAAAGACTGGTAGTATTTATGATGAAGGCACCACATAAAACTTGTAAAAATGATACAGAAGTATGTCAATGGATTGAAGAATACCAATACTTCACCTTACTTGGATTTCCCACTTGGGAATCATTTATGATTCTGTGGAAAGAAAATTATCAGAATAAAATAAAATCATGACAAAATAGATTTTAAAAAAGTGAAATTCAACTATTTAACTCCCAACTACTTCTGCTTATAAAGAACTCTCCAAAGTGCTAGGTTTTCCCCCAGAAAACCCAAATCACTTTTTAAAAATCATTGTAATATATCAGGACATATAATATACTGAAGCCTTCCTATACTGTTAATTTCCTAGGATTTCTTCCTTCTGTTTTTCTAAATGGAGAAAGGGGTAAAAAGAACTTTATTAAAGGAATTAAGTCTATCCCTTTTGAAATTTTCTCCACTTTCATAATTGATCAAATAATGTTCCACTCATTTTAAATTTAATCACCTAAATTATTTTAGCAAAACAAACAAACAACTGGAAACAGACTCTCTGTTATTTTTGCTTGATTAATAAAAGTGTGTATTTTGAAACATTTTGCTCTACAATTTTCAATATGATAAAAATGTTTTGTGATGTTTGGGCTATTAACTTTTCTCACAAGGTCTTCAAACCTGTTTATTTTTCCTTAAGTTTCTGGTGTAAAGTGTGGAACATCAGCTCAATATATAAGAATGGATGAAATGAAAGAGTAAAAGAGGGGGAAATGTCTCTGCTCAGATGGCATTCTTTCTGCCGGAGTCAACTTTGCTCATCTGAAAAACTCTTAAGGGTATTTAGTAGAGTTATAACAACCGTTTTCAAGACCTCAAACATTGAAGTATGTATATAGTTCATTAGAAAATTTTGTTCTAGTGAAAATGATCTGCATTTTAGAAATATCTTTGGAACATGGAAATGGGATGTGCTGGCCTGACTGATGCCAGAATTACCTAGATCTCAAGGTTACAATTGAGACAGATCTAATAGATTTCCATTAGTTCCTCACCAACTCTTTTAGTATCCCATGCACATGCTCCATTGCCTATTCTTTGGTTTCTCTCCTCTTAATGCAAGATGCAGCAAGAAGTTCAATGCACAGTAACACTAATAAATGGCCTGGCGTGCATGCCTCTTACTGTTCTGGGGAGCGTGCTGACTCTGTAAGATAAGCCCTGGATTGCATATTTCAAGACTGGTAGTTTGAGCATACCAGCCACTTCATAGAAGAAAGATGAAGCTTCCTGCTACCTCAAAGACTTACAGCCTCAGAAACTCTATTCAGAGTTGCTCTGAGGCAGAAGCAACTACAGCCCTCTATAACTGTTCACAGGGAGTTGCTTATGCTTCCATTATGCTATAAGAAATATTTGTTTCCATTTGTTTGTTTGTTACTTGGTTTATTTCTGGTTAGATTTACTTTTCTTCTGGGCCAAGATCCTCTCCTAGCTTCCTGAACCATGTTTTTAAGTGGTTTGTGCAAAGCAAGCTGGCTTTAAAGGGAGACACTTTCACTCTCCTACCTCCCTTCTTCTGATCAATTTATCTCTGCTAGATAATTACGAGAAAGAGAAGCAGGTGAGACACAGCCATTACTTACTAACCCTACCCTGTGAAAGATCTGAGAAACCAGCTGGACAATGTTTCCTTTTATCACTTGTCTAAGAAGTAATTCTCAAAATCACTGGCAGATCTCATTACTGTCACTCTTTATGATCAATTGAATTTTTATCATGGATATTTTGGGGAGTACAATGGCTCTGTGGGATAAGCACTGTATTGTGAACCACAAAGTCAGCTGTTTGAGCCCATTAGCCACTTCACAGGGAAAAAGATGAGGCTTTCTGCTCCTGTAAAGATTTACAGCCTTGGAAAACCTATATTGGGTCTCTATGAGTCGGAAGGACTCCACAGCACTTTAACAACACCATGTATATATTGTATCTATATGCACATATGCGTTATGTGTTAGGGGTGGTATTGTTTGCCCAGTCTGAGGATTGTTCTGCCATCAGCGATACAAAATGTGGTTTAAAAAAAAAAGATTTTATCTTTATAATGGTTACTTAATTTGTGTGTTATAACAAAGTACAAGATTTATAACAGGTTATACTTTGTTTTGTTTTGAATTCCCATCGTCTTGGAAGTCATTAATTGTTATCTCATTTGGAAATCAAGTTCACATACTGCTTAAATTAAATCTTTGTACATCTCCAGTCAGTGTGGCTCAAAGAACTAATTAATTAAACTTCAGAACACCCTTGAGGAAAAAGCAGCATTATTTCTCCTCTCCTCAGATGGGAAATCTGAGCTATAAGGAGGTTAAGTGGATTGTCTAAGGTCAGAAAGTCAGTCAATAGCAGACTGAGACATAAAGCAGACTTGGGAATGTTGTGAACAGACTCTCTTCCTCAATGACAGAAATAACTCCAAAGAGGCTTTCCAAGTACTTTGCAAGGTGTCCCCTTAATGATCCATCTATATTTATCTGTGTTCTTAATGCTTTATAATTCTTGAAAGGAAAGTTAGCTAGGCAGAGGAAGAGGCATAGCAATAGAATGAACAGACATTACTCACCCAAATTATAAAAAACAGTAATTTCAGTGATAACAATATAGAAGAGAACTTCAAAGTTAGCAAATAAGCCTTTTATATGCATATAAAAACATATGTATATTTGATTAATAAATCAGAAGTCATTTGTCCAGCCAGCCTTAACCACCCCAACCCAAACCCTCTATTTCTTGTATACTAAAAAATATCTGTTATGAATGTCAAGTGACTATAAGAAAACTAAAAGCCTACTAATAACTTTGTAATGGTTTATACAAATGAAAATGCCTGGCATGCTATTAAACTTAGACTTCAAAAGGCAATGGAGTAAAAGAAAATATTATTAAACATAAAATTGGAAGAAACAAAAAAAGTTCTCTCAGGCACATGAGACTCTGACATGCATCTAGTTTTCTTATCTTTTTTTTAAACAGTGAGGCAGTCATTGTCTTTAATGTTAAAGGGACTTTATGAACTAGTGATTACTGAACAAAATTATTTGCTTTTTAGAGTTAGTCTTAATTTATTTTTAATTAGACCACATGCGTTAAAAACAGGGCAAACAGTTAAGACCCAGTGAGGATTTTCGGTGTTGAAGGGTCCAAATATTTTCTCTGAATTTTAAATCTATAGTAGGTTTTAGGCTTTTATTTTTAAAGTATATACTAAGAAATGTATTCAATGTCTACATACACACACACACACACATATATATGTAACTCCATCAAATCTCTACAAATGTTAAGAACTTAACGTCTTGAGACAAAAGTAGCTTATACTGACTGACTCCGGAAAGGACAGAATAAATAGACTTTTTAAAACAGAGAGTATTTCACTGAAAGACAATGGTTTCCTTCCTAACAAATAGAAGCCACACAGAAAATTCTAACATCAGTTATAACCGCTGCCCTCTTTTATTAACAGAGTGGTGGTTTCCTCCAGCAAATCAGAAACCTCTGTCTTGTCCTTCATGTCCAATGCACTGTCTTAACCTCTTACACTTCTGTTATATAAAAAACAAACACACAAGGGCACCACACAACCCAAGTGTAAAATAAGTTCTTTTTTTTCTTTTTTACTTTCAGTCAGCAACTAGGAGTAGGACACAATTAACCTTTCACAAAATATGTCTGCCTCTGTAGGTTTGAGTATAAAGGCAAAATTCACCTTTCTCATTCTTTGTTTAAAAACAATTTTTAAAAAATGTTCCTTTTATAACATTTGTTTGCAACAAGTTCAAGTTACAAAAGTCAATCTCTGATTTAAAAAAAAAAAACACAAATACATGTTACAGATAGTAAAGCCAAATCAGCCTCAAGATGTAAGTTTTTACAAAGTACTTTCTGGAATTTCTTTAGTGAGCTTTAGTGGAAGAGGTAATTTAAAACAAATTAGCAAATAATGTCATGCAGTGGTTAAATTGCCATAATACATTTTTTTTTTTTTTTAAAAAAAAGAGGTTCCTGGAAATTCTTGTTTGTTGTCGCATTGATACCAGGCTAGATGTTAGTCCCTTTAACTGTATTTTAATGGCAATGTTATAGCATGATTTATCAACATATGGCAGGTGGAAGCTGACACAAATTATAATGAAAATTAAAACACTCATTTATGCAGCAGGCGATTATCATTT